GAGAGAGCAGAGGCTCAGAGAGTCCCTGAACATCCACTGACACCGGACATTTGGAGGTTCAGGGTCATGTGACCTCACCTCCGGACTCCGGCGACTGGAGCCTGGATGGCTGGCTGTCTCCGGGCATGGAATGTGAACCTTGAACTCGGTGTACATTGTTCTCGATTCTGACCTGAGGAACATTTTACTTGTTTCGTTTTCCGTATTGAGTGTGTTACGACCCCCACATGTGACCCCTGACAATCCATGGGGATGAGTTGTGTCGCATCGTCAAGCATTTCCGTTCCATTTCAGGATTCTCATCACGTCCGACACATAGTACAGTATCCACCCTGCTCTCCCCTGCCCGTCCGTGTCCTCCGGGGTCCCACCCTGCTCTCCGCTGCCCGCGCCCGTGTCCTCCGGGGTCCACCCAGTCCTGTGAGCGGCTCCAGGCTGGCGGCGGCCCACCTTTAATCCCTTCCGTCGGACCCGGCTGAACCACCGACCGTGACCCCACACCCGGCCGGCGGCTCCGGGAGGACAGCCACGAGCTGAGTCAGTCCCTCGGACACAGGGTGAGATAGTCCCACGTGCCACGTCTGGAGTGGACCATCTCTCCTAGCGGACAACCCGCGAAGGCCCGGTGATTTTCGATAAGTGCGCCGGGTCAAAGGCCAGCATCATGTGGGATGTGCGATCGGCAGAACCATTGTCTCGCTAATGGCTATCGATTTCGGATAGTCAAAGAGATGAATTATTCTGGGAGTGTGAAGCGATTCTCCAAATGGTCTGCATAATGCATTGGATATAACCCCGTCTTCAGATACGCTTTAGAGACTGTGGGGTATGCTAACAAGATGAGAAGTGCCATAACGTCCGACACTGCGGCGTTTACTGGCCATTTTCTGAGCCTGTAACGAGTGAGCAACAGGCCGTGAAGATAAACCCAACTCGTGTAACAAACTTCACCGGCTCGTCAGGACTGACTGACGTGTCTCACCGGACGCTGAGCCGCCACGCCCAGTAGCCGTCCGTGTCCGTGTCGAGGCCGGGGTGTGACCCAGGGCAGCAGAGGAGGCCCGGCGCGGGCTGGCGGCGCTCCGAGAGCGAGCTGGCACGGTCTCCGGGGGCGGACTCAGGTGTGGCGCGGACACAGGCCGGGAAGTACGGTTAGCTCATCAGGGCGTCAGCCCGGTGCCGTGACGAGTGTGGGCTGGGGAGGTTGAGCCGGTTGAGGGCGGCTGCGTGGACGGTTTGGAGTTGGTGAGCGAGGATGCTGGAGTGATTGTTGAGACTGCTGACGATGATTGTTGAAAAAGTCCCAGTTTCGCCTAATATGTATCACTTACAAATTATTTTATAGAAACTTTGCTCGTTTGGAGCTGACACAGCTGACCTCGGCTGACCTGTTCTGTCATCTCAATCTACAAGGCTTAGATTCACTCAACCACCGCTACTTTCCGAGCCTTCTATCCAAGCCGCCTCCCGTCTGTCGTCTTCCTTCTGTCGTCTGTCGTCCCTGCTCCGTCAGCCGGCGTGTTTTGTCCGCGCGGCGTGTCGGCGTTCCCCGTCTGGCTGTGGTCTGGCCGTCGTCTGGCCGAGGGTACCCGGCCCCGAGCCATACTCACTACAGCGCTGCCGGGACTCTGTTTGTTGTCACACGCCCCAGGCGGCCGTGCCAGGGGATACCGTAATGGGGCTGGGTCAGTCGGCGCACGTGCTCTCGGAAGACCACGAAGGGTGTGTCTTCTACCGCTGAGGTGGCATAGTTTTGGGAATGGGAAAGATCGTCGTCCGTCGATGTGACGAACCGTCACAGACGACGCGGCGCTGGCCCGCACTGATGTGTGACATGTGTGTCCAGATGTTATCGCGAGTCGGCGGTCTGTCATACGGCGGAGACTGGCTCCAGTTCGGGCTACAGGCGGGCGTGTTTTTCGTCTGGAAAAATTCCATTGTTTTGTTGGCCGACGGTGGTGCTTTGAAGCCGTTTGTACGACCAGCGGCTCTCGACTTTGCTCATTACGCGCGTGCCCGACCCCTAATGTGCTATTGTTGTGAGCAATCTTGTGCGTTGATTTCCGTGTTGTTCCTTCCCGGCGTCGGGTCGGCCTCCAAATAACATCAGCGAGCTCTCGGCGGGCTGGAGCTTGTTTTTTGTTTTGTTTTGTTGGGTTAGGCCCTTTCGGTCCAATTAGACCATTTTAGAGCCGGGAGGATGATAGGATGTAGGGGGAGACATTGGTCTGGGCAGGCACCCTAGTGAGTCGCCGGGGCTGAGCCCGTCCAAAGGACAGGCCACCCAGCCCCAAGGCACTCACTGCACCCGGCTACGGGGTGCGCTCCCTCGGGAGCAGCGGTGCCGCTCCAAGGGAGCAGCCCGCATGAGATGAAGTTGCCTGTCCAGCCCGGAGGGGGGTTGTGGCGTGGAGGAGAAGGATTTCAGTATCCTGAGGATAGAAGCACGGATAGGTGTGCTGGAGCGACACTCAGCGGTCCGGCTGATCCCCTTAGCGGTCCCTCATCCACAGGTGAGGTCACGCACCTTCACACCGGCTCTCCGATAGCCGCTGTCTGTATCTACTTGCCGGCTGTACTGACTACCTCGACACGTCCCGGTTGCGTATGATAATGCGCCGCTCGCCGCCGACCGGTCACATAAACATGTTCATCGTTCGCCGCCGGTCCGGTCGCGGCCGGCCATCACTTACGGCTGGTGTGAACGGACGCTGCGGCAGACAGAGGCGACACCAGCTGTGCGGAGGACCGGTGCACGATCCGCGCCGCCGCCGCCGCCGCCGCTGGCCCCGCCGTGCAGTCTGTCGGACGAGCTCAGCCGCTCTGACGACGGCGAGCGGGTGGAGTGTGCTGGATTCTGAGAGATACCGGACGTTCCAACCATCTGAGCTGCCCGGCGGCGCAGTGGGATGGGTGGTGGACGTGGAGGGCTGTCCCTTGAAGCCAAGAAAACAGTGAACAAGACTCCGGTTTAGATATCGTGGCCTTGTGCCCTCGCGCGGAAGGAACTCCATGATGTCGTGACACCGCGGGGAAAGACCTCGTGATTTCTCGCTGGGTTTCGGTCGGAGTTTGCGGTGAGACGGCGGTGGTGCGGTGGTCGCGGCCGGCGCCGTCCCTCCGTCGGTCGGTCGGTCGGCCGGTCGCACATCCGCCGGCCGTGGCCTCTGACCGGCAGTCAGGGTCACCCGGCGGGGACGGGCAGGGGTGCCGGCTCCTCCCTCCAGCAGTCCGGGATGAGCGACCTAAGCCGGAAATGACGGAGACCCGGAGACGGCCGGAGGTGCCAGGTGATCGTGTGCCTCGTAGGTGGAGGCTGGAATTGACCGCGGACTCGTACCTCTGCTGGCGCTATTGTGAGCGATGTGGTGGCGTCAGGGTGCAACGTAATGGTTGTGGATTACATAAGCCGATATGATTTAATGTCGGCTCTTTGCATCCTTGGCATTGCTGGCATTTATTCGTGCTGTTCTTTCGCAATACAGATGGATACATGCGCGTTTCGGTGACGTGAAGCCTGTTTGTACCATTCCGGCGGAGCTTTATTTCGGTGGATGGCTGACAATTTTAGCGGCGATCTTTTCGGTCTGGTGGGCTGCTCTCGGCCGGTACAGTCGAGTGACGTGGTCCGTTCACTGGCCAGACGGGGACGAACGCACGGACTCGGTCCGGCCAAAACTAACAGTGGTTCAGTCGGCCGTCAAAGGTCGCAGTGACCCCTAACGCGACGGTCGGCTGGGGACGGTGTCACTAGCAGTGCCGCTCGGCCTCATACGGCGCAGAGGAACAGTCCCGGACGGACGGTTCTAGCTTCTGTTGGTGGCGTCTGCCAGCTAGATCCCAACGCTCCATATTTCATGGAACGATGCTGCAGCTTTAGTTGTGATCAATAGTCGCTGGATGGGTCATATGAACTGCCAAAGAACGATACTGCCTTTGCGTGCAAGAGTGGGACTCTGGTTGATAAGAATTAACTTGCGGTTGCATTAATGTTTTGTATTATGGTTCATCCATGGGGTGTTGATATTTCTACGTTTACGAATGCCAGGGATTGTTGACCATACCTGTGGCGAAAATCGGTCGTGACTGTTTGATGTCGTCGTTGGCGGAAGCGTTAGCTCACTGTCTGTGTATGCGGGTGTTCGTCAACAACCACCACACGACCCAGCTGTATCGCCGCTCGACGGGCCGGGCTGGCAAACAAGGTGGCATTACGCGGCAGCCTTGCGTGAATTTTAAACACGTTAAAAATGGTGGTGTTTAGCTTTGCACCTGACGACCTATTTGGTGGGATGACTGTGGTAATTTTCGACCCAGCTAAGCTGTGAGCGCTTATCATTGCCGTGTTATCGCATTATGCAATGACAAATGCGGGACTCTATCATCTCGAACACAAAAGCGTTGTAACGCTGAATGCTTTTGTTGCTTATTACCACGACAGAGTAACCAATAGACTAAGCCGATCGGAAGGAAATGCCCGAACATATCAAGCCTTTAGATCTCACTGGCTCCAATGTATCAGTGTAAGGCGGATGTGCCATTCTGGGTGGGGGCTCCTGCGACATTCTTGCTGTCTGTTGCTCGACAGCCGATAACATTTGTAACGTGATGTGGCTCCGATGTTCTTTGGTTACCGGTCATTGGGACGTGCATTTCCGGTAGGTGCTACGTGATCCGGGAAAAGACTAGCGTATGTTCCTCTTGCCGTGTCTGTGTAATGCTCACTAATCCGTTACTGCAACGTCCGCTCCAACGTGTCGCCGCATGGTGTCGCCGCGTGTCCTCCCATTCCTGTGGATCTGTCACTGTGTTCTACTGTCCCTTCGACATTCTGTCCCGTAACCTGACTTCCGTCCGTAACTCTCTAGTGGTCCGACCTATTCACTCGGCCATGTGTGCAGTGGGTGACCTGGCCCGCTCCCTCTGCCGTTAGTGACCTGGCTTATCCCCTCTGCCCTGTGTGCAGTGTGGGTGACCTGACCCTCTCTCTCCGCCCGCAGGCTGAATGAAGAGGCCTCGATGAACCACCGCGAGGGCGGCAGCGAGGCGGGCGGCGGCGCCGATCGGCCGGCCGCCGCCGCCGCCGGCTCGCCAGACACAGAGCGGCCCACGCTCAAAGTTCACCTGCCCAACAGCTTTCATATGGTCAAGTACTCAGAGAGCACAGATGTCAAGGTTAGTTGGGCCGGTGTGCGGCGGATGGGAGCTCTGCTCTGAGGCGGGGGTTTGTCTGAGGAGCGGAATCAGCTGAGCGGTAGGGTACGTTTCCGTCAGGAATTGAATGACATAATAGAGGCATGATGCTGAAGGTGTTTGTGCCTTGCCGACAGCATGTTTCTCATTTTACGCTCGCAGAGTCCGGGCACATTTTATTTTTCAGCCACCTTTTTTCCATTGGTAGTGGTGGTAGTAGTAAATAATTTTGATGTCAGTTGTTTTCTTATGCCTAAGTTAAAAACGTTTTCTCGGACACATTTTATATACGTAATGTGACCTGTCGTCCCTCTCTCTGTCCACAGTATGTGCTAGACCTGCTGGTGACCCGGTTAGCGCCGGAGCCGCGCGCCTACGAGGGCCTGTTCGCGCTCCGGATGGTCAACTCAGTAACCGGCGATGTGTGCTGGCTCCATCAGAACACGCCCATGTTCGAGGTGGGTCTGACGGTCTCCCTGGGTAAGGGGTAGGTTCTGAGGTGGCTGCTCGGTACGGTTATGCCGTCTGTGGGACTGACAGGCTGGGACTGTGAGACGAAAAAGATCGGGAGCCTCGCAGATACCTCATACGGGTTTCTGTGAGGTGATTGGTTTTCTCTAAAATCGCTGTTTCTGTCATGGCTCTGGCGTGGTTTTCCTCGTTTCGGCGATAGTTGGGCTCAACCAATCGTTGCATCAGTACGGTGTCGCAGGACGCCGATAGATATTGTTTGTGGCTCCGTTAGTTCCTCGTGGCTGCGCTTGTTTTGCGCCTCATGACAAGCTGTTTCGTCAGATAGTTTGTTTTTCCTGGCTACCCACTGTTTATTGCCAATGTCGGGATCTGATGTATCGGTGAAAACATTGAACCGACCAAATTAGTAAGATTCAATTACTCAATTGCGTGAATGACATTGAAGAAGCAACGTCACCGACACATTCTGTCGTGTTGAATTCGGTTCTCCCTGGTGCTGGCTACCCCCAGTGTCGAAACTTGTTTACTCTCCTTCGTTCTTCTTCGATAACATTCCGTTTGTTTTTCAACGGCTTGTCTGCCGCTTCACCGGTAGACTGGCTATCAGAGCGCGGTGTTTTCACTGCTTTCATCGCTCGTGCTCGTGCTGGCACCGATGAATGACCCGCACGGGCCGCCCGGTACCCACTGATCCAGTTACAGCGACTGGTGTTGGGGCATTGCCAGGCCCGGAGAGCGAGATATGTTCGGGCGGGGGGGGGGAGGGGGCTGCAACGGGAGGTTACCTGCTGTGGCTCAGATGTTGGGCTGGGGATGGGAAGGGCGTATGTATGCGGACAAGCGGTGGATGGGTGACTGAAGTAAGGAAATGAGTAAGTGAGTGCTTGAAGCCTGGTTCCCACTGGGTCTATCACCCGTCGAAACAGCCCCGTCACTGTCACCCGCCGTGTTTATACATTTATGACAAGTTTAATATTGTAGCGTGAGTGATCACTGTCACTAACATGTGCCCATCGACTCATGCTCAAGACGTCACTTCTCTCATCTGATGACGTCACTCTGACGTCACTCTATCTATCCCCCTTTCAGGTACTGGAGAAGCAGGAGGGCGGCGCCGACCGGTGGCGGTTCGAACTGCGGGTCCGGTACCTGCCCACCGACCTGCACCAGCTGTACGACAAGGACAGAGTCACCTTCCATTTCTACTATGAACAGGTCAGCGAGGCGCGCGGTCTGTGGCGACTCTGAGCCCTGTAAAGTAGGTAGGAGTCGCACGCAGGCGATGGAAGCTCTCAGAAAGTGCGACGATATTTTAAAGTGATGGTCATTGGTGAAATCTAAAATGGTATCTTGCGATTAAACGCGCTGCCGCTTAGGGTTCTTCTTTCCCTTCTGCCCCGTTCTATTTTGTCTCCAGCGCCGTCATAAGCTCATTAAGCTGTGCTCTGTGCCTCCCTCGACCTGTCGCCCCTAACCCGTCTGTACGCTGACCGCCGTCTCTGTGTATTACCACAGGTCCGGGACGACTACCTGAGCCAGGAGCAGTGTCCGGTCGACCAGGAGATGGCCGTCCAGCTGGCCTGTCTCGACATCCGGCGCTTCTTCAAGGACCTGCCGCCGAACGCGCTGGACAAACGCTCCAACATGGACTACCTCGAGGCCACGGTGGGCTGGGCCAAGTTCCTACCGCGCGCCGTCATCACGGCCACCAAGGCCAAGGCGCTGCGGAAGGCCGTGCAGCACCAGTTCAAGCGCTGCAGCCACATGAGCGAACCCGAGTGCATGTTCAAGTACCTGGAGCTGCTGAAGACGGTGGTGCGCTTCGACCAGGAGCGCTTCACCTGCGCACTAGGGGTGAGTGTGTCTAGTGGCAGGGGCATATTGTGGTGGTGCTTGGGCGAGAACTGTTGAATGTTGATGTCCAATTCTGTATAAGTGCTTACTGCAGTTTTTAAGTTCTCTTCCCCTGCGGTAAATTCTCTATAGCAAATGCATCACTTATATCGCGGTCATGCGCGCGTGTTCAGCGAAGATACAGGCTTTGCGGTATTTTTACTGGCATTGATATGTTTATAATTGTTTGCTCTTCTGTCCCGCACTGAAAGATGCTAGGAACTCCATCACGGCACTCCAACAACCATATATCGAGGACTATGATAAAGTACTAGAAGACTTCCTTTTTTAAAATGACTGCCACCAGTCAATGGAGGAAAAGAAGAACAACTTATATCAATTATGGAGATGTAGAAATAACAAATGAACGCCAAAGAGGAAGATCACAACAATCGATAAAATATCAGACGAAGATAATACGGATGGGGTGGCGTTGCAAAGCCAACACCCCGAGAAAAATCTGATCTGATCTGACTGACACCTGGCGCCCTTAGCCGCCTCGTTTTACATTTGCCGTTGGTACTCTGTGTTTCCCAGGCATGGTCGATACGTGTGCAGCTGATCATCGGTCCGGACTCTGGGATCTCATACACCACAGACAAGGAGGACTCGGTCAGTGCCGACTGCCGGACTGAGACAGACTGTTGGCGGGATGGGGAGGAGCTGGATAGAGGGCACTTTCGGAGGTGTTTAGTTTTAATATGAGCGGTGACTGTATCCGTTAGGTATCACATAGCGATCGATCTTTTCCTGGTAGTCATCAAGGGGTGAACTTCGCAGTAATTTGCCACGATCCTTTTTGTTTTAATGTCTTATTTCCGTGGGCCATCCGATCGTCATTTGCGCATTACTGACCTGCGTCTGATTTCGTCTGCGTGGCCTCGCTCTCTGACACCCACTGACCCCACCCCGCCCTGTCCCTCCCCCAGGCCACCCATCTGAGCAGTTTCGACCAGGTGCAGAGTATCCAGACGCTGCTCTCTCCGTGTGAGAACTCTGCTCGGCGGGCGGCCGTGCAGCTGCGGGTGGCGGGCCGGCCGGAGCCGCTCATCCTGACCTGTGGCTCACTGAGGGAGGCCGACAACCTGGCAGACCTGGTGGACGGCTACTGCAGACTGGTCAACAACGCCTCCAGCAGCCTGTGGACCAGGAAAGGTGCGCCCACTGCCGCCAGCGAATGGGGCGGGGAGCGGGAGAAAGGGGTGGGATGGTGATTGTTTGTTGAGGTGCTGGGAGTGTTTTGGTTTGGGGTTTGTTATTGCGTTTCAATGATCCCAGGAGGTTTGTCTGTGTGAATGTGGGGCGTAGGCTATGCTGTGTTCGGTTTGCTTTGACCTTCTCGGTGGAGGTCCGTGGAGTGACCTGTGACGCCTGAGCTATGGTCTGAAGCTCAGGACCGTCCCGCAGTCCAACAGTTGACCCTCCTCTGACTCTCCCTCTCTCACCACCACAGTACGTCTCCCTCCCGCCCCCCAACTAACACTGCTCTCTGTTAGTGCTGCCTTGGAGACACGCGTGCCACTGCTGCCGGCCAGGTAGGTTGGGAACGGAATAAATCACACCAATATATTCCGCATCTGTTACGGATTTATGACACTTATGCAGACTTTACCGATTTGTCACACAGACGTCGTTCGGACTAAATGTCATATTTTGTAGTTCGTGTGCTGCAGCATTGTCATTGTGATGCTCCGTCAACCGCGACGCCCAGTATGTGTTGCTATAGCGTCAGCGGTTTGATTGTATTAACTGCTGCTAGTTGCCGTGTCGCCGCGCTGTCCCTGCGGCCTCCTATAAAGCCGCGCCAGCTGTGCCCGCCCCTGATAGACTCGATAGCTGCCTTCCGGTGGGCTGCGGCAGCTGCGTCACGGACCGGGACGGGACGGAACGAATTAACACTGAGGGCTGTCAACTTCTTTATAGATTATCTCGGCTGTTGTTCTTCTCATCTACACAGTACACACAAAACATTGGCATTGTATATATTTTTCTTTTCTCCATACAATGCCAATGTTTTGTGTGTACTGTGTAGCATCATGTGCTGGCGCCTGAGTCGCTTTCAACCCATGACTGGCCTCTCCTCGGCTTTCCGATCACTTCCCTCACAGTCTGCAGAACCTTGTGACTGACCCCCTCCCTCCCTTCTACAGCGGGCCGCTCGCGGTCGGTAGAACGCCGTATAACCCTTGCCCCCCTCCCCCCTCTGCAGCGGGCCGCTCGCGGTCGGGGGAGCGGCGCTCGCCCTCTGCCCGGCGCTCCGGACGCTCCGCCTTCTCGGACGACTACGCCGAGATTGTGGAGGACGAGGGAGACTACAGCACGCTGGCGGCCAGGGACTACGAGCTGCCGCGGGATTCGGTTCATCTGGTGGAGATTATCGGTCAGTGACGCGCCTAGGGGGATAATGGGGAGAGGGAGGGATGGAATGGGATGGGTAGGGATGGGACGGACGGACGGACGGACGGAATATGGCAGAAGGGGACAGACGGTTACGGGACGGGGAGATGATGACATTAGCCGAGGAGGCGATGGGGGACAGGGTAGTAGTCTGGTGTAAACGTCTCGTGTGAGCACGTTTTGATATGAATGGGACTGAATTGTAACAGGGGATGATGCTGCCCCAGAGCCTCAAAAATAAAATGCCTGGCTAGCACGAGTTCAGTGCGTCGAAGGGGAGCTTGGTTTCAATTTTTGGCTGTACGATGAACTAAAACTGACTTATTAGTGCACCTTCGTTGGGTAAACTGTTAGCACTGGCGGCCGACGGGTGTGGTCTGCCCGACACGGCGGCATTCTCCGTCAGGTATCCGTGAACTCTATGACGACCGGTGACCGCTGTAGGCACTGCCTCTCAGCACAGCGCTGGGAGCACAGCCGACTTATGATTCATACATACCGGCCGGCCGCCATGAATGATGCATGTGTTGCTCATTCGACTTACAGTGTGTTAGCATGGCCTTATGCGAGGCTGCCCATGGCGACTCAAAGGTCGTGGAATAAATAGGTGCTTACATTACTGCCTCCTTCTGTGTGGTGTACCTGTGCCAACTGTGTATGTACCATATATGACTTTCTGCAACGACAGAACACTAACTGTGGAGCCAATTTGGTGACGTACCGTCAGGTAACACATGGTGTAGTCAGTGTACCGTATTACTATGCCGACAGGAGACGGTACGCTCTGTGGTTTACTGACTGTACCGGTACTGTCTCCGACAGGGGAGGGCCAGTTCTGTAACGTGTACCCGGTACTGTGTAGTGTGTACTGATTGTACCACACTGTACCGACAGGTGAGGGCCAGTTCGGTGGCGTGTATTATGGTACCTGTGGTGAAATTAGTGTACTGTACTGTTTCGCAGGCGAGGGCCAGTTCGGTGACGTGCACCGCGGCACCTATCGGTCTCCGTCCGGACAACTGACGCCCGTGGCCGTCAAAACGTGCAAAGCCGACAACGAGACGTCCATGGCGCACAAGTTCCTAGAGGAGGCCCGTGAGTAGTCGCGGAGGGGCGCCGGAGGTACGCCGCTAGAGGGAAAAGCTAGTGATAAAGGTTTTACTGTTTTCAAGTGTCTCTATCTGAAGAGGTCGATTTTGATCAATAATGCCATTGTTAGTGAATGATTCGGCGTTCGATTGGACAGTGTAGATACACACCGTATTACCGTTATCTGCAGACACGCTTGTACGATTTGCGCCCTGCGCCTTTGTATGTACTTGAGCTAGCTATGTGTGGCTGACCGATATCTTCAACGCGTCATGACTGGGCTTATCTTACAACAGCGTCTGAATGGGAACATCATTTGATGCTAAAACTCAGTTATTTTTGGTGCTATCTTTCGTTAGTGCATACGATTTCATTTTTATCAGCCTCAACAGTCAGCATCCTGGCATCATTAGTACCTTTTCAGCCTCAGTTACCCCCACTGACCACAATCCCCTCTTCCCACTCCAACAGACACAATGCAGCAGTTTGACCACCCGCACATCATCCGTCTGGTGGGCACGTGCAGTACCTCGCCCGTGTGGATTGTCATGGAGCTGGCGCGGCACGGCGAGATGCGAGCTTACCTGCGGAATAGTCAGCACCGACTGCGATCAGATACACTGGTGCTGTACGCGTATCAGCTCAGTCAGGCGCTCTCATATCTGGAGAGCAAGAAGTTTGTGCATAGGTGAGAGCTTGATGGGAGGGGGAATGAGGTGGAGTTGGGTTGTTCAGTGCTGGTTGCTTGGGGAATGTGTGGGTTGGATCGGTGCGTGATGGATATTTTTGGGTGATTTTATTGTGAAAAGGTGCTACTGAGGGTTGACTTGTTAGTAGCATGCTAGGGCTTGTAGAACTTCAGTTCGTCTCGAGTTGTCACGCTCCTCCGATTCTTTGCTCTTCCATTTACTCTTGTAGGAATGTTGCTACTTCTCGAAACGTCCCATACCCCACTATCGCACCACATTGGGCCATTGGCTATGTTCCCTTCCCACCCCGACCTTTCACTACCCCACCGTCACTACCACCACACAGGGATATCGCCGCGCGGAACGCCCTCGTCTACAGCCACGACAACGTCAAGCTGGCCGACTTCGGCCTCAGTCGGTGGGTGGAGGAGCAGGACTACTACAAGGCCTCCAAGTGCAAGCTGCCCATCAAGTGGATGGCGCCAGAGTCCATCAACTTCAGACGATTCACCACCGCCAGCGACGTCTGGATGTTCGGTGAGTGACGGCTGGCGGCGACACGGGACGGGGGAGAATGTGAGGGCAGCTGGTCTTGGAATGCGGCTGCTGAATTACAGATGTATGGATGTTTTGTTATGTGCATTTCTTTCGATTTGTGATGATATCGTTTTGTATTTTCCCGACAGCTATTCATTTAGAAGGTCCTTGCGGCTCGGCGGGTATCTGCATGTGAAGAGATGGTCACCTTTAGCCGACCGCCTGTAATGTCTGAGCTGTATCGGCCAATCATTTTCGTTCCCGCTCCCCAAGTGTATGTGAGAGCTATTGACTAACTATCTCTTCCCTCTCCTCAGGTGTGTGTATGTGGGAGATCCTCACGCTCGGCGTCCAGAAGCCGTTCCAGGGTGTGCCCAACAGTGAGGTGGTGGGTAAAATCGAGGCGGGCGAGCGGCTGCCGCTGCCGCCGCGCTGCCCGCCGCGCGTCTACTCGCTGATGCTCGCCTGCTGGCACTACGAACCCAGCAAGAGGCCCACCTTCGCCGATCTCAAACAAGACCTGCAGTGAGTAACGATATGTTCTTCCTCGGACGGGGCTGAAGGGTGTTCCTGGGGTGGGGTGGAGTGGTTTGATCATGCCTTCCTTCAGATTGATGTAAAGGTGTGTGGTGTAACAGGAGGGTTATAAACTCCCATAATTCTCATAATTTTTATAATTCGGTGTTTCATAAATCGATGTCTGCGTTACAGGGAGGCTCTGTTTCAAGAGCGCGCTACGCAAGAGGAGACGATGAGGAGAGAAAACCGGAGAGTGCAGGCCATGTCCTGGGGTAATTAATACAAATCCATGTGGTCGCTAAGAAATTTCGATATTGAGTGCGCTGCTGTTCCTGTCGCCATCCGGGTCATGTTGTTCATCAATCATGCAAGTATACCGGCTAGTTATAAACGAGTTTCCGTGACCGATATGTACTGTCTCTCTCGCGTGTTGACCGCTTGCCTCTCTCCCGGCAGGTTCCAACGACTCGGACGAGCGGCCGCCGCCGAAGCCGCCGCGCCTGCCGGCCGGGGACCGCTGCTCTCCGCCGCCGCCCGCGCCGCCCGCGCCCCTCCAGACCTACATCGTGGCGCAGAGTCCCGAGGTGCTGGCGCGGCTGATGCGAGACAACGCCGGACGCGCGCAGGCGGGCAGCTACACGACACCGGCGTCGGCTCTGAACACGGTCAGCGTGGAACTGGGCACTCTGGAGGGCGCGGGACCGACAGGACACGCGTCAGGGCGCGACCGGCGGCTGGGCGGCTCTCTGGCGCGCCGCCCGGCCGCCGCCGCTGCCCCCAGCGCGGCCGCCGCGGCCGGTGTGTCAGGAGGGGCCGGCTCGGCGCCCGGCAGTCACTCCCTGCCTCGTAACTTCGCGGCGGCGTGCTCCCGGTCACCGCGGCTCGGCGGTCGCCGTCAGGTTTGGCGTCTCGCTCTGTTGGCATCTGTGGCAGCTCCTGTAGAGGCCGGCACGGCACGGACGGAGCACGACACTGACTGCGCTCGGGGCTCATCCGGCACGCTGATCGCTCGTTGAGCGCGCTGACGCTGACCGGGGGCCGATTCTGTTTGCTAGAGCCTGAGCGAGCAGTGTAGCAGCGGCTGCTTGGGATGGATGCACTGACCCGACGCATCGTTTTCAGTTATATCAGTGGATGCCAAAATGATTCAGTCACAGCAGCTCGCCAGCTCGGCCACATCTTAGCTGTCTCTCGATCACGTTGATTTGATTTTTGTTACGAGTTGGCCCGTCGTTATCACCCACGCAGTCCCTTTATCTCCCAGCTTACCTATAGATATGCGACCTTCTTGGCGTTAACTGGCACCGTTTCACAGTTTTTACTATGATCACTTCCCTTCGTTTTCATTTTCTTATTAATTGCTGCTGCCTTTCATCGAAGAGATTTCAGTGATTGCAAGATTGACTGAAGCATGTTTGTTTCGTTCTTTTTGCACGCCAATCGTTTCGCTCGCCAGAACATTTTTCTAGTTTTGCCCGATACTGCATGAATGGACTGACCAACAGGTTGTTATAGCAACGTAATGCATTCAATACACACGTTATAGATCTGGAGTTACAAAGTTACTTTGCTTTGAATTTGTCTGCTTTGGAATATATTTTTGGGGGTATTAACGCTATTAACTCCCGCTGCTGCAAGAAGCAACTTAAGATGGGTTTTGTTATAGCTCTGCGGCAAAAATTGGCAGCTGACTCTGCTGGACTAACCCTTTTTAACATGTTTACCTTTTTTGTCTGTAATTTTAGCGTAAAAGTAATAACCAAATGTTATTTTTCAGTAGTTCACATGATTGCTCTTCACCCGGTGCGGTATCAGGCCGTCTGCGCCCCACACCCTCCCTACCCCACTGACCCCCTCTCCCTGTGGCATCCCCCAGAAGCCGCCGCTGCCTCCTGAGGAGCAGAAGCGTCGCCTGGAGCTGGAGGAGCAGGAGCTGCGCGACCGGCTGGAGACTCAGAGACGACAGATGGCAGAGGACGGCGTCTGGCTCAACTCGGAGAACGAGCTGGTGAGTGGGGAGAGGGAGGGGGCTCTGCGCGCCGGCCGCCTGGCTCCGCCGCTTCTGCCGCTGTCTGCGCCGGTGTCCAATGTAAATTTAGTCAGTGGGCTAGAATGGGGAAGGAGTTTAAGTTTTCACTTGGACTTCATAGTTAGTCGATGGCTATTCGATATTCGATGATCGACATTTACATTTGCGCTGTCGTATCGAGGTCGGTTACAATATAATAGTTTTTTTATTAAACAAATCAATACTATCTAGAGGTGTCATTGATTATGGATGACCAAGAATCGATCTGCTTTGCCTCGTCTGGCCTCTGGTCGGCCCGCTGACCGCTTGCTTATGACTCGCTGACTGACCGTAACTGACACGCTGGCACACTCTGATGCGCTGACTGCCGCTCCAACCGCTCTTCGCTGAGCTGTTTGCCCGCCTCTGCCTGGCAGCGCAAGCGCCTGTCGCTGGCCACCTCGTCTGACCGCTCGGACACCGAATCGGTGGACGGCGGCGCTCGCGCCACATCACCCTTCCACTCGACCGCCGAGCCGGCCGGAGCCAACGGATCCCGCGCCGCATCCCGGGCCGGATCCGCGCACGGCTCCGGACCCGGATCGGCAGCCGGGTCCGGGGCAGGGTCCGCGCCCGGGTCCGGGGCCAGCAGTACGGAGAGACCCATCGTCGTCAAGGTAGCGTCAGACGGTGATCAGATAGAGTGAAACCCGGTTGTGTGGGGACTGTAGACAGGGTGGGCTGCTGCTTTGAGGAAGGTTGATCAGTGGCCTGAATGTGTCTCCTTCACAGACCAGGGCTGCCTCTGTCGGCTAATCGAAATGCAATGGCTAGGTGATCCGTAACCGTTGAACTCGTGCACTGAGCTTAGACGTATCAAGTAAAAGTCACGTTGACTTCTCGTTGGGCCACTCATATGCAAAATCATGCTAATTTTGCGTAGAATGTCGATAGTCGCACTCAAACTTCAAACTTAGTGCCCTCTGCGATTTTTTTCGTTGTTTATTGGCTGCTTCTTGGACCAAAACTAGAAGTTACTCTGGTTAGAACTGCACAACAGCACATCGGTGCTCCTCTATCCTCATACAGCGCACCCCAGTTCTCTGTGCTCCAAACCCCCGCCATGACCGCCCGCCCGCCCGTTTCTCCGTCAGCGTATGGAGGTGACTCCGACCGCCGAGCTGGACCGCTCCAAGGACCGAGTGTACGACTGTACCACCAGTGTGGTACGATCCGTGATGGGCCTGTCGCGAGGCGTGCAGGCCGGCCACGCCCAGCGCTACCTGGACCTGGTCAAGGCTGTGGGGTACGAGCTGCGCGAGCTGCTGTCGGCTGTAGATAGGGAGGTGGTCGCCTTCCCGGCGGCGGCGCATCGAGAGGTGAGGAGGTGTGGGGAGGGGATGGGCGGGGGACGGACACAGGCAGGGGAGGAACCGGGCTGGGGCAGGATGTGTGGGAGGCAGAGATGGAATGTGTTGGAATGAATTGGAATGTAGCAAGATACTACGATTATGGTAGTGCGATTTTTGTTGTTGGACTAATATTGCATTGTGTCGATTGTTTCGTTGTAATTTAATCTAATGTGCTTAGTTATACGTATTTTCGTTCATGTGCACTGACACACCCTTTAAGCTGCTCTGCCATGCTAACCGCTCCCCGCGTCTGTCTGTCAGATTGAGATGGCTCACAAGGTGCTGGGGAAAGATATGCAGGAGCTGGTGGCGGCCATGAAGCAGGCTCAGCGCTACAGTACCACCACACTGGACGACGAGTACAGAAAGTGAGTGGGGCGGGACATGGTGCACAGCCATACGGCGTCACACGAACGGTAGAGTGTGGGGTGGGAAGGACGGGCTGTGTGTAAAGGGGTTAGGGAGAGGAGACTGACTGGAAAGAGATCAGAGACTACACTTCAGTCATCGTGGGATATAAAGTTACGAGCAGGGCGCTTAAGGCAGTCAGTGGGCAAAAGCTACAGGGTGACCCATTTCGCTGATCCGATCCGGATATTGATACGGAGATGTCACTTCCAAGTTCCACGGCGCTGGCCGTCCCGTTCGCCCGGCCTGCACCGTCTAACCTTGCGTCTAACCACTTGGCCCTCCCAGCAGCTGCCTTACTTCCCACTGTATCCGTCCCCACAGGCAGATGCTGCAGGCGGCTCACGTGCTGGCCGTCGACGCCAAGAACCTGCTGGACGTGGTGGACGGGGTGCGGATCAGGTGCGGCGGCGGTACCACCAGCGGTACCGGTACCGGTACCGGGGGCGGCGGACACCAGCCGGTCCGGGCGGGCAGCTGAGTCCGCCGCCCCCGCTCGGCGGCGGCAGCGCCTCTAGTCAGCGGCCCCGGCCGCCACATTCCCTGCCGCCGCCCCCGTCCCCCGTCCCCGCAGTCAGCCCCTCCCCCGTGTCAGATCATTCCATAACGCGCCGACCCGCCCGCGAGGCCTCATACTGTGGCGGGCGGCTCCCGTGTACCGCGAGCTACTGTTATATCTGTGGTGAATATATGGATCATGCGTTAACAAACCGTGTTTGGATGGAACTGGACGGATCGGGTCAGAGGGTTTACCTCGGCGTATAGTGAATCGCAGGAGCCGTCTCTCTACAGTCTAGCTCTAATACCAATGGCGATGTCATTTCCTACAAGAGCTCAGTCTTACTGACAATGTCTCAGATCTCGGGAGAGAAAATACAAATCAAGACCGCAGATCAACACATGGGTTAAGTTGAAAAATCATGTTATCGTTTGCTGGCTCCGTTGCAATAATAGAACGGGCAGTAATCAAATAGTATGATACCATGTTGTCCCGACACTCCCACCCTCTATGTGCTCTGTGCTCTGCTCTGCCTCCCCCCCCCGACCCGTGCCTCCGTTCGGTCCCACCCGTCCCACCTCCCCCATCGACCAAACATTCCGTCGGTGCGGGTGGCAGCGGTAGCGGCGGGGGTGGTGGGCGGTCGCAGTCTGCGTCGACGGCAGTCTTGGGTTGAGTCTCTTAAGGTTGAGTCTTGTGTAACAGACTGGTTCTACCGGGCTCCGGAATCGGTGACTTGGTGATTGTGAAGTGGCAAGATTTCGTGAACAACAATACCTATGTTTCACATGGGGTGTCGGATGATCAGAGGAACGTGTTATATTCATTGATCCTATTTTCCCATCTCTTTTGCCTCCTCCTTTTCTCTTTTCTATTCTTTCTCTCTCTCTCTCTCTCTCTCTCTCTCTCTCTCTCTCTCTCTCTCTCTCTCTCTCTCTCTCTCTCTCTCTCTCTCTCTCTCTCTCTCTCTCTCTCTCTCTCTCTCTCTCTCTCTCTCTCTCTCTCTCTCTCTCTCTCTCTCCCGCTCTCCTATCCCCTTGCTCTGCCCCTTTCCATTCTCATTCCTCCGTAGACCTGTCCTCTCCCCGCCATCATGTCTGGTCTCGAGCACAAACCGTCCGCTCGGTACCGACCGGTCGACTGGTTCCGCCACAACACCCATCTGGCTGAGGTGACTCGCACACAACTGGACGCTGGCCACGGGGCGCGCCAGAGCGCTGGAAGGGCGGTTAATGAGGCGGCCATACGCACGGCCTGGGACCAGCACCACTCCTGTACTCGGCTGCGGGACAGGTGAGAGTGCGATGAGGCTGGAGACGCCTCAGTGCCGCTTTCACTCAGTCAGTGTTGCTCTTGAGTCATGCTGAATCCTACTTTGACTGCAATAGCCACAGTGGTGTTGATTGTTCGTATGTTACGTTACAATGTATACAATGCAATGTATGTACAGTACAATCCACTACCCAGCACTGACGGTCAACAGCAGGGTTGTGCTCGACTCAAAAAAATTTGCCGACTCGACTCATCATTCAACTTCAGAAAGCCCTGACTCAACTCTGACTCAAACAAGGAGCTGACTTTTTCCCTTGACTCGACTCATGACTCAAGCGGCTCAATGAAAATATGAGTCGACTCAAACTTGACTCAAATTTGTTGTTGAGTCAAGTAAGTTGACTCAAAATTGACTCAGATAAAAAAGTTGTTGAGCGGGGCGGGGGTGAAAAAAATTCCGGCAGCAGGGCCAGGGCAAAGTTGTTAAGCGGGGTGTGGGGATGAAAAGCTTGTTTCTAGAAAGTTGAATCAGCTGACTCATTGTTTGACTCAACTCAATTTCAAAATTATTTTACTGACTCAACTCTGACTCAACTCAACGCCTTAATGTTTTTGTCCAACTCAACTCTGACTCAACTCAACAGCTCTACATTTTATCCGACTCGACTCAAATCTGACTCATTTGAGTCAGAGTTGAGTCAAATTTCTGACTCGACTCATGAGTCAAGCACAACCCTGGTCAACAGTGCTGCTCCTCTGACGCTGACGGACATGAACCCCCGACAGGCTGAGTGAGGTCGAGCACTGGAAGCTGCACCTGGAGCAGTCAGTAGCCGCTGTCGATGACGAGATGGCCGCCCTCTGGCGCGCCAAAACCGCCGCTGAGGACGAGCGGGAGGCGCGCCATTTCGACCTGGAGACCGCTCAGGCGGCTCTGGCGCAGCGCGAGGGACGCCTGAGACTCGAGGTGGTCAGAGACGATGTGGAGGAGACGCTCAAACAGGTGACTGATGGGGAGGGTGCGGCTGCGTGGCAACGAAAAGTGAGTTGATGTGATGGTGGTCATTGGCCCAGCACCGCCCAGCCCATGTTTGCGAGGGTGTTTGAACACCTACGTGTGCCAATTGTAACTCGTAACAAGCTGCATTGTTGTATTGCAATGAATACCTACCATCGGGAGCTCATCTCAGCAGGCATAACATTGGGTCTCACTTGATATGAGGTCCCGTTACCAAGTACCGAATATCATTTTTTCAGGCGCAAAATTAATCTGTAAGGAAACCGTAAAGCTGCAAGAAACCGTGACTAATCGCCCTCTACCCCCACTCCCAGGAGGTGGACGCGGTGTCCGAGTTCCGCGCACACCTGCAGCGGCGCGCCGAGCAGAGTTTCGAACAGCTCTGTCGGCTGGCCGACGCCCGCCAGGCCCTGCTGGACGACATCGCCGCCAAACAGGGAGCCCTGCACGTGGACCTGTCCAGCCTGGCGCTGACCACCGAGAGCGCCGAGATCGGCTTCAAACCGGACCCACTGCGCGTGCCCCGCGAGTGAGTACGACAGGTGGCTGGGGGCAGCGAGTAGCGTCGGGTTCCATGTGTATTGTGTTACCGTAACATATCACAGGACAAGACAAGGTCACAAGGCCTGCAGTTCCGAGTCTTATCTATCAGTTTCATTGCGTGCTGAACCTGTTCATCACTCGGCGTCCGGGAGCAACACAATATTAAAATGCGTCTGAATCATCGTGGTGGGCAAAGGTAAACAAATATGCTTGAAATGGATCAGGAATCAGGATCATGATGGTGTCATTCATAGGTATACCTGTAGCAATGCGGCACAGCATCTAGGCCAGGCGGTTACCTTCCCGACATCTATCGGCGGGTGTAGGAAGAGCTAGCGGCAATGTGGCACAGTATACCAATCAGGCGTTTCGTAGTGCCGACATCTATCGGCCGCTGTAGGAACTACGTAGTAGGCATGCGGTACAGTCTAACAATCAGGCGTTTCACACTGCCGACATCTATCGGCCGCCGTGGCCCGTGGGAACTACGCAGCAGTCGTGCGGCACAGCATACCATTCAGGCGCTTTACACTGCTGACATCTATCGGCCCTCATTGAAACTACCCAGCAGTTGTGCGGTGCAGTCTAACAATCAGGCGCTTTACACTGCCGGCATCTATCGGCCGCCGTGGGAACTACGCAGTAGTCGTGCGGCACAGCATACCATTCAGGCGCTTTACACTGCCGACATCTATCGGCCCCCATGGAAACTACTTAGTAGTTGTGCGGTGCAGTCTAACAATCAGGCGTTTTACACTGCCAACGTCTCCGCAGCTACAAACTATCCAACTTTACGGTAACAACACATCATGCGTTTTGTTTAATCAGTAGTTCACGTTGCCCATTCTAGTCGGGAAGGAAGTGTTATTGGTGAACTGACTCGTGCCTGAGCTCATCTACTTAGGTATCCACAGTAGCTGTAAACGCGGTATATGATCGCTGCACACTCATATCCCGTCTTTAATCCACGATGAGATGAAGCGTCCCGTGCTGCACCCCTGTCGCTGTCACAGAGTCACTGATCAATAATAGATAAACTGACGTGTCCTGTGGCCCTTCCGCCCTCCCCCTCCCCCGCAGATCGGTCACTGATCCACAGTAGATCTGACGCGTCCTGTGTCACTGCCCCCCCCCCCACATCTCGGTCACTGATCAATAATAGCTCAACTGAACTGACGCTTCCCGTACCGCTGCCTCCCCCCGCAGCTCGGTGACGGTGCCGCGCTGGGAGGACAGCTGCCGGGAGAAGCTGGCAGCTGCCGACTACCAGCTGCAGCAGTCGCGCCAGCTGCGGGCCGCTGACGCCGACACGGTGGTGCGCGGTCAGAACCGGCTGGAGGGCTGTCACGCGGCGGTTCAGTTCGCGGCGCGGCGCCGACAGCACGAGCTGCAACAGGCGCACGACGAGCTGCAGTGGCAGCGGGGACAGGTACGGTGGTAGCGGGGACAGTGGGGCAGGTACAGTGGGACATGAATAGTGACAGCGGGGGCAGGTAAGGTTGATTGTGGAGACAGATATTGTGAGACAGATACGTCGGGAAGGGGACAGTGGGGCAGGGATGATGGCAAAGATGACAGGAATATAAGAGGACAGGAAGTGTGTGGCGTGACAGATAGCAGCACTCAGGCAACTTATGGTTGCATTGCTGACCTGTTGACATTGGAGGCCAGGTCAGACAGATGATTTTTGCAGCCTCACTATTTCCTCAATGTTTCTCTCACTTCTTGCCATCTAACAGCCTCCCCGTCCCTGCGTCAGGTATCTGACGAACTAGCCGAGACGGAGCACGAAATCAGTCGGGTGGAGGCGGCGCTGCGGGACAAGGACCCGTACCGGCGGCTGGCAGAGACGCGACTGGAGCGTCGGACCGAGCGGCCGCTGACGGAGCGGGTGTACGACCCGCCGTGGAGCGCCCTGAGAGCCGAGACCACCGCCGTCCAGGTGGGAAGGACGGTGCAGGGCAGGGTCCTAGTGAGAAGTGAGAGCTCTGATGTGTTATACATAGGTAACTGCAAATTAAGCGGCACGCTGGCCCAGTCTTTCTGCAAAAGAAGTCGTTAAAGCATGGTTTCGATTCTTTCGAATGTGAGGAGAAAATGTGACCCGCACGGCCGATTTCTCACTGGATGCTGGATTATGGCCGCTACCCTCGGCTGCCTGCTTATATTCACGGCTTGAACAGTCTATCTCAGAATCCAAGACGCGTTCTTGTGTCACCTGTCCCCATCTCCCTGCCGATCTAACCAACCTCCCCTGCCCTCTCCCCTTCCGTAGGAGACCCAGGGTGAGTTACGTCAGCAGCTGTCGCAGCTGTGGGAGACGGCCCACCGTCTGCGCCGTCACCTGGCCAGACTGGACGACAACATCGCGGGAAAGGCGGCGGCACTGGGCGTGGAGCGCGCCTGTGCAGAGACGCACGGCCGCAGCCGGCCGCCGCCGCTGGTTCGGACCAGGTCCCACCTGGATAAGGTGTGAATGATCGGGATGGGTTATATCTAGACATGGTAGTTTGGAGCTGATTGAGCTGTTGAGCTCACATTCAGTCACTCTTGCTCCTTGGTAAATTACAACCGGAGTTGCTAGGTACTTGCTTGATGGACAAACCACTAGTAAAAGAACCATGCTGGTCCTTTAGCTGCAGGGAGTCACCGATGCGTTCTATTGAAGCACCCAATGAAAAGAACTGTGCGTGAGCTTTTGTTCTGGTAATGCATTTGCTTCTTTTCCTCAGGTACTGCTGCTAAAGCCTGAGACGGTCACCCACGACCGAGCTGCCACCTACCAGGTCACTCCCGAACTGCTGCCGGGCAAACTGACGTCACAGGAGTGCACCTACGGCTGCGGCTGCAGGGGCACCGAACAGTGACGTAATACCGGGCAGAAGGACGTCACAGGAGTGCACCTACGGCTGCGGCTGCAGGGGCACCGAGCAGTGACGTCATAACGGACAAACGAACGTCGCAAGAGCTCTCCACCGGTGTGCACATCGTCAGCAGTTACACTGAGTGCCGAGTGCGAAGACGTTCGCTGTGTTGTTTGTACCAGTCGCTGTGCTACTGTTCCTGATTCGTTGGTATCTACCCTTTTGAGTTGCTTTCCAGCCGCTGATCAATGCGAGCTCAAGTAAAGGCAGTTTTGAGTGTGAGAGTAAGAATTGAATGACTATCGGAGCAATGTTGCCACGCAATCTTCCAGCGTGCGTATCACAATGAACCATTTCCTCTCAGTTGGCTAAAACGCGCGTCCTAAGACAAATGCAGCACGAGTTAGCGAGTTAACTGGATAATAGGGTTGGTGACAGCAGCGGCACTGCCATATCCACGCACGGATAATGCCATGTGTGTTGTGAGCCTATGTAGAACATTTATGTTGCTATGACGTACGGTAGAGGGGTAAGGCGTGTTACCTGTAGCTGATGCCTGCCTCACCTCTGCTGGTTGATCCGTATAAAAGCATGCACTGGTTGATTGCAATCATGTACGAGCGATCCATGGAAGTTAGCCAAGAAGCCTCCGCAAAATGAACCTAGTCCCAGTTAACCAAGCATCATCCCTAGGTCTGTATCCTAATCAGCTACAAAATCAGTCAGCCATCGTTTGTACATTGAGCACGTACAAATATATTATCACTCAAAACACAGACATATTCTGCAGACATCTGTCGTTAGGCGATACAACATATCACTAGAACTGCGGCACTCTCAGGCAGATGTGTCAGAAGAATACTGACATCTACTGACTGCATAAACTGACTGCAGCATAGTACGTCCAATCAGAAACATCTGACTCTGGGTAGCCGGGAATCCGACCGGCAAACCTAGACTCCAACCGCTCAACACAATTATGTACCGACAGCAGCTGGGGCTCAGGACTGAAAACTGCTGCACGCGCCAACTCAATTGCACTAAAACCGAGACGAAGACCGGAACACTGATGGAGTGGGGTAAAGAAGCTTCTCTGGGTGGGATTATCTTGTAACTCAGCGGTAATGCAGTCAGAGTAACCGCTGTCATAGAACAATTACCTGAATGCTCCACTCCACCACAGGATTACTAAAGGCAACTCAGCTCCAAATGGCATTCAACAACAACACGTCAACATATTCTTTCATCTCTCATTTCCTCTTCATTCATCGCGCACCCTAGCACAGCCCTCCCTGCCGCCCCCCTCTCCCCTATTCGGGTCGTCCCACGCCCCTCTGATCCCCCTCCGCTGGCCCGCCGGCCGGCCGTCCGTCACCCTCTCCCCCCTCGGCGGCCGGCGGCGGCGCGTTCGGCGGCGGTCCCGCAGTGGCAGCCTCCTCCTTGAGTTCCTCTTCAAAGTCCTGGTGCGTGACCAGGTGTTTGTGGCCGTGGGGAGGGGGCCCGATCAGCGCCACCACGTCGTCGTAGTTGAGGGTGTCGCGGGACATCAGCGCCTCGGCCATCTGTAAATGCCAGAACAGTAGATATTAGATAATAAGTCTTGACGCGCTACTTCAAAGCTCAGCTACCAATCAGGGGAGGTTGGGAGGAGACGACGACTTTCATACACAAAGCACACAGACTTCTCACTTCTTTCCAACCTCAAAGCTTCAGATTGCCGCTAGTCACCCATAAGGTACCTACTCCCCTTCCCAACAGCCCCCATCTGTGAGGGCTGTTGGGTAGACCCATGACAATCTGTAGATCGCTTCCTCCCTCGCCATCTACTGATTGCCCCCCCCCCCCCGGATGACAAGTGTGGGGCAAGACGCTCGTTCCCGCCGCTTCCACCATGACTCACCATCTGCAGTTTGTCCATGTTCTCCTGGAGCACCTGCTCCGTGTGCCGGTAAGCGCGGGCCACCAGAGCACGCGCTTCCACGTCCATCAGAGCCGCCAGTTTTCGGCTGTACGGCTTCCGGCCGGGCGTGGACGGATCGAAAGACAGCGGGCCCACAGCCTCGTTCATACCGAACGTTCGGACCTGCAACGGCCAGACGTGGGAGCGGTGTTAGGTCGAAAAAAAAAAATACCAGCGCAGTGGGCTCACCTCTTCAACTTCTTTATACGTCGGCCATGACCTTTCCATTCGGTAGACTAGGTACTTACAAAAACAAATTAAATGTTCGTACTCATGGTTCACAAAGGATGCGCAAAAAATGACAAACTACATAGTGCTTGCATGAGCCTGATTGGCTACATTGAGGGCTATATTCAACGACTTTATCGCCTAAGTGTATAAATTACCACGGCACGACGAATTAATGGGTGTTACTCTATTCAAAGAAAAAATGCACGCACCATACAGGAATTTGACGGGCTATACTACACCCCGTCTGAACAGACCTCCCTCTTAGCTCTCCGAACCCTCACCTGGGCGTAGGCCATTTTGGTGACCTTATCCAGGTCGTTCTGCGCTCCGGTGGTGACCCGGTCAAAGACCAGAGCCTCGGCGCACCGACCTCCCAGCGCCATACACATCTTCTCAAACAGCTGAGTACAGACCGGGGACAGCGCGGGAGTTAACGATACGGCACTACTCAGACGTCAGTTTGTCACACAAGCGAAACAAGGCATTACCTCACAACGTGATTGCCAGGAGTTTAATTCCGCTCAAACCGCGTACGAACCGCATATTTTACTAGTTACGCAATGCGTACCTATCAAAGAAACATCTAAAACGTCAAAAAAAAACTTCGGCCTGAAATGCCTTAGAGACCAATTACTCAACGAATTTTTTAAATAATGGTGCATCACTTGTCCTCTGTACAGTGTACAGTCTTGTCCCTAACAAGGTTCAGTGGGGTATTTTTCGGCCCATATCTCACCTGCTCCGTCGTGTGCAGTTTGATGTCTGCCGGAGTATACTGCGCGAAGCCTAGCGTCTGGTTGGTCCGCGGCACGATGGTGACCTTCAGCAGGGCGTCCGTGTGCTTCAGGAGCCAGCCGACCAGCGCGTGACCAGACTCGTGGAACGCCACCACGCGCCGTTCAGAGGGAGACATTACCTGAGGACGGGAAGGGGAGGTCAGGCGCTCAGAATATCACCTCTGTGAGGGAAGGTCAGGGAGACAATGCCACCATGCGCCTCTCAGAAGGAAACATCACCTGGGCGGGAGGAGGGGAAAGACAAAACGTCACCACTGTGATTTTCCTGACACTGTTCGCTCCGGCCAGTCTCGTAACTGCAACAATTTCTCTCGTTTCTCCTGTGTCTGTGGTCGTTTACTTCGTCCCGTGACCGCTTCTCCGCTCACTACCCTACAGGTCACAGTTCCCGCAAGTCAGCAATGTATGTGTGACCATTTCTACGTTCATTGTAGTTATCTGTAGCCGTTCCAATGCCGTACCTGAGACCGTTTCTCCGTGCCGCCCACGACGCGCTCGATGGCGTACTCGAGGTCGGCTCCCTTCACTTCCTTAGCTCCGTCCCGGGCAGCCTTCAGCGCAGCCTCGTTAGCCACGTTAGCGATATCGGCGCCTGCGGGCACAGGAGTTAGGTGTGTGACGGTTGGTGTGGGGAATGCTTGAGAAGAGTTTAGTCTGATGAGTTTGATGCTAATGAGTTCTGATATTGATGGGCTGAGTGATGAGATTAGATGGGATGAGTTTTTTAACGCTGAAGGTAAAATAGCGAAGAATCTAAGTTTAGACTGAAAGATAAACCCTGTATTTCAGTTGGAATGGAATTTTGGCAGAGCATGGGTGAAGAGTATCACAGAAGTGACAAAGGAATGGCATAATACGTTGAGTAGCTTGTTGAAACACCTCTTCCTTGCCCTCATTTTCGCCGTACCACTAAATTCCGGCGTCAGTCGGGCCCTTCCTCCCCTCCGCACCTCGCACCGCTGAATTCCGGCATCGGGCCCTTCTGTCCCCCTTCCCCTCCTCACCGCTGAATCCCGGCGTCGGGCCCTTCTCTCCCCCTTCCCCTCCTCACCGCTGAATCCCGGCGTCGGGCCCTTCTCTCCCCCTTCCCCTCCTCACCGCTGAATCCCGGCGTCAGTCGGGCCAGTCGCGGCGAGAAGGCGGTCACCGGACGCTCCAGCACAATCGCCTTCAGGTGGTGCTCGAAGATCTCCTGCCGTTCGGCCAGCGTCGGCAGGTCGATCAGGATGTGTCGGTCGAACCGGCCAGGACGGAGCAGCGCCTGTGAGGACACGGCAGACACCGTTATCGCAACTAAATGGCAGGTCCTTGAAAGCAACAGGGGGCTCTCCCCTTCCCTGGGGCAGCTACGAAGACGTGAGTCTTCAGACCTAAGAGCTCGCAGCACGAATAAAACGGACACGCAACCGGCCCTATCTGATAGTGCAACGGGTGGAACATGTTAGTTAAGCACGTCGTAAAAGCAGTTGACAACCTGTTAAAGAATTACTTCTATCCAGCATGAAGCAGCGGACCGTCGACTGGCACCCAGGACAGACAGTCTGGTACAGCCGGACCCGGCTGTCGGCGCACGCACCTTGTCGAGGATATCGGAGCGGTTGGTGGAGGCCAGAATCACCACGCCCTCCTTGGTGGCCATGCCGTCCATCTCCACCAGCAGCTGACGGATAAACGGGCAAACTTCATTAAAAAAAAAAAACACACACACACACAGTAACAAAGGCAAGAAGAAATACCTCCAGTCAATATAAACACAGCCAGACGCCGTGAATAGAAATTATAGTCTCCAGCAGCGGACGGATATATAATCAGATGTCAATGGTACACTATTACACTATCGTGACACATCATGACAGGCAGAGGCACCTGACTTTCCAGCTACAATAAATGGTGACCGTCATCTACTCCCGTCCCATCCCTCTCCAGGTTCCATTGATATCCGTGCTACCCTATCATAATATCTCACGACTCCCTAAGATCTGAGGAGGGCCTGTTCCCAACCTCTGACCTGATTAGGGGTCTGTTCCACCCTGCCCTCACCTGGTTGAGAGTCTGCTCCATCTCTCCGGCTCCGCCGCTGAAGCTGCCCGCTCCCTCGGCCCTAGCTCGACCAATGGCGTCAATCTCGTCAATGTAGACGATACACGGCGCTCGCTTCCGCGCCTCCTTAAACAGGTCTCTGAGGGTTCGAAAAGGGGGTCATCGGATGGTTAAACGTTCGGTTCAGCACGGTTCAGCTTATTAGCTTTACTGAAGAGAAACAAGTAGCCAATAGGAATAAACGCGATGGAATTACCGGTAAAACTGAGTACAAGCGACACAAACGACAAGATCAGTGCCAATCAAATGCAGGCCAACTAATCCAGTCCCTTTCTCTACTGACCTGGCCATACTTAGACAGTCCCAAACTGACCCAGACGGCGCCGTCTCTACTGACCTGACCCGGGCGGCGCCCAGTCCGCCGATCATCTCGATAAACTCGGAGCCGTTCATGGTGAGGAAGGGCACATGTCCCTCGGTGGCCACTGCTTTGGCCAGCAGCGTCTTACCGCAGCCCGGCGGACCGAGCAACAGCGCTCCCTTCGGTACCTGAAAACGGGCATCAGGGGAAGAGTCCGGAGTCGGACAAGGGTGGAAGGCAGCTTTAGTCGCTGCTAGAAATATAGCCAAACCGTTCAACATTCACAATTTACAGGGATGAGCTATAGC